TAAGACAGGTGATTTTTCAGTTTATTTATTTATTTATTTATTTATTTATTTATTTATTTATTTTTCAAGACAGGGTTTCTCTGTGTAGCTTTGTGCCTTTCCTGGATCTTGCTCTGTAGACAAGGCTGGCCTCGAACTCACAAAGATCCTCCTGGCTCTGCCTCCCAAATGCTGGGATTAAAGGTGTGCGCCACCAACGCCCAGCAATTTATTTATTTTTTAAGACAGGGTCTCATGTATTGAGATACATTGAGATACCTAGCTTTGAATTCACTATGTCTGAGAATAACCCTGGACTTCTGATCTTCCTGTCCACACCTCCCAAGTGCTAGAGTTAGAGGTATGTTCCACCACACTAGGTATATGTATTCTGGGCAAGCACTCTAGCAGTTGAGCTACGTGCCAGACCACAAGAGATTATAGGCATCGTAATCTTAGGCCTGAAGTAGCCTCTTCAAAGTGTCTTACTCACATGGTCAGCAAGGTGTGGCAGCCTGCTGGTCCAGGGGGAGGAGAGATGGGAAAGGGGTAGGACACATTTTCTCATTAGTTTAGATACTGGGCTGGGTCGTCTGGTTTCTTGCCCTTCCTTCCTTCTTTTCCTTCTCTTTTTCTCTCTTTTGGGTGGGGTTTGAGATATGTAGCCCAGGCTTGCTCCCTATGCAGCTAAGGGTGACCTTGAAATCCTGGTCTTCCTTCCTCTACCTCTACCTCCAAGGACTAGACTACAGGCATGTGCCAACAATCTGTTTTCTTTCTTGAATAAAAGTCTTACTATGTAGACTAGGCTGGCTTCAGATTCATAATCCTCTTGCCTTGGCCGCCTGAGTGTTGGGATTAGTCATGAAGCATCACAGCTAGTTTCACCTTCTGTTTGAATACTCAAACATGCCAGGGTTACTCCACAGCAATCAATCCAAGAGAGCCAGGCAGAAACCACAAGGCTTTTTATGACCTCACTTTAAATGTCACACATCACCACTTCTGTATCCCATCAGTCACACAGGCCAGTAACTAATTCTAGGCAGAAGAAACACATGCAAGTGCATGACTAGTGGTGACTAGTGACAGGTGAAGACTGTTGGACACCATCTGGTAGCTGACACCAGAACCTTTGGAGGTATTCTTTTTTTTTTTTTTTTTTTTTGAGTGAAATGGAGAGCCAGTGAAGGGATCTGAGCAGGACAATGATCTGTACTGTGGTTTCCATGCGCTACTGGTTGCTGTGGAAATGAAGTGGAGAGGGAACTGAGAAGGCCAATGAGGAAGCTACTGCAGGCCAGGAGAGGGATAGGCTTGATGAAGTGGTGCTGAAGTTGATGAAGACTGTGGTACTCGGGACATATTTTGAAGATAGCAATGGTAAGCTTTGCTGACAGGTTGGATGTGAGATGAAAGGAACTGGAGATGTGTCTAGGTGCTGGGGACTGCAGCTGTGGGGAGAGGGCTTACCTAGGATGCACAGAGTCCTGCATTCACCAGCACAGCATAAAGTGGGCATGGTGGTCCACGCCTATATCCCAGCGACAGGGAGGTGGAGAAGGGAAGGGGAGTTCAAGGTTGGGTCTACAAGATGGCTCAGCAGGTAAAAACATTTCTCTTGGAAGCCTGGTAACCCGACTTTGATTCACGGAACCAATGGTGAAAGTGGAGAACTACTAAATATGCCCTCTAACCTCCACACACGTGCCTGTCATGCGCCTGTGGGACGAACGTGTGAGCCTGTGCCTACACACATCTCTTACACACGCCTTAATACTAAAAAAGAAAAAAAGAAAGTTCAAGCTATGAATAAGTCTCAGATACATAAGACTGTCTTAAAAAAATCAAAAAAGGCACTAGAGAGCGAGCAGTCATAAAGGGACTTGCTGACAAGCCTGATGACCTGAGTTTGAGCCCCAGAATGGGAATGGTGGGGGGGGACAGTCAACTCTAGCAAGCTGCCCTCTGACCTCCACACACGTGACATGGCTTCCACTCCCATGAATACATTTAAAATTCATAAAAGATGACTTCAGGGGTTTTCCACAAATGATTTGGACAGAGACCTTCCCCTAAATGAGCTTGCACCATGGAAGAGATGAGACATTTATACAAGTAGCTCCATTGTGTGGCATAGGCACTGTGCACAGTAACAAGGCACCAATGTCAATGATGGAGTTAGATGAAAAAGTTCTAGAACAGTGGTGATGGTGCACAATAACAGGAATGTTCTCAATGCCACTGAACTATGTACTCACTGTCAGATCCCAAAGCAACCCAAAGCTCACTCACTATCTGTGGCTCCTCCCAGCACTTCTCACCCCACCCCTACCCTAAACGGCTCCAGCACGGGCTGGACTTTGCTTCCCTCCCCCAGCTTCTCATTCATCTATAAAGCTGCCATTTTGGCCATGAGTACTCTTGGTCCTCGGCTCCTCTCTGTATCCCCTTGCCCCTTCTCTTCCCTTCCTCTCCTGCTCCCCGCTCTCATGGCCTAGTTCAGTCCTGACCCTTCCAGATGCCTCTGGCTGAACCCTCCCACACACTTACAATCAAATCCTTCTCCTCAACCACAGCTTGGAGCAGTCATATCGTCATTTCCACTCACTTACAGTGGTTAAAATAAAATGGCTAAAATAGTAAGTTCATGTACATTTGACAATAAAAACATTAACTGGCTGAGGGTAGTTGCTCAAGCTCATAATCTTAACACTCAGGAGGTTGTGGCAGAGGATTGCCAAGAGTGAGCCCAGCCAGACAGGGCTACATAGCACAATGTCTCACAAAATAAAGCCAGACATGGCGGGACGATCTCAACACTCAGAGGCAAGAAGATCAGGAATTCAAGGTCATCCTTGCCTACATAGCAACTTTGCAGCCAACGTAAGTTACATGAGACCTCGATTCAAAAAACCCAAGCCAAACAGTACTAGCTAGGTGACATAGCGGTTGCCTGCAATTCAGGCTGGCTTGGCCTTACATGGTGATTTCTGAGACAGCCTGGGCTATACAGTGAAACCCTGTCTCAAAAAAAAAAAAAAAAAAAACCTAAATAACAAAACGCCCAAAACAGCAACAATAAAGATTCTATAAAACACTTTAAGTTCAAAGAATAATGAATAACAGAAAATGAGAATATATAATCTTCAGGTAAGGGAAGTAGAGAAGGTTCTGCTTCTGTTCAACTAGTTTCAACTGGCAAGAGCCAGGGCACAGTTCAGTAGTTTTCTTAGAAGCCACTATACATTATTCTAGGGGTGAGTGAACTCAAGGCTAAGGGGATTTACTCTCATCTTGAAGTCAGAATGAAAGGATTTAGGATTTAACTCAGCCTCATGCAAGCTGGGGGCAGGGGTGGAGGTGTGGGGGGTGAGCGGTGGGGCGACAAGTCTAATACCAGAGAAAGCAGCCTAGGTGATGGTCCGGCAGAAGACCTGTGAGCAGCAAGATCCAGGGGTGGCTAACAAAGACTAGCACAATTGATTTCAGCCTCTTTAAAATGAGATGATGATGGACCAACTTACTACAAAGACAAAGGAGGGTAATTTGAGGTGAATTTCTGTTTTGGTTTTGTTTTGAGACAGGGTTCCATGCATCATAGGCTGGGGTCACACTTGCGACTGAAGATGACCTTGAACTCCTGATCCTTCTCTTGATGAATTTGAAGGTGGCTTGGTAAGACTCCTATCTAAAGCCGGGCGTTGGTGGCGCACGCCTTTAATCCCAGCACTCGGGAGGCAGAGG